ATATAAGATAAAGTAAATTAATACAGTTGTCCCTCGGTATTCATGGGAGATTTTTTCCAGGACCCCCTGTAGATACCAAACTCCACAAATGTTCAATTCCCTTATGCCAACTGGAACGTTTCCATATAATCTACGTACATCCTCCTGTTTACATGAAATCATCTCTAGATTACTTCTAATACCTAATACAATGTCTATACGTCAATTCATTCACGTGGATTCAAAATAGTATGCTGCATGTGGCAAATTCAAGACTTGCCTTTTGGAACTTCGTCAAATTTTGTTTTCCAGATATATTCAAAAGTATTGGTTAAATCCACAGATGCAGAACCCACAGATATGGAACCTATGGATATGGAGGGCTGACTGTACACACTAAATTAATTATAGTGGTCTTCTCAGAAGTAGAGAGGAGAGAATAGTGTGATTAGACATGAATAACAAAGTAAACTAAAACTTCACCTGTAATGTTTTCATTTTATATAACCATAGTGTTAACAATTATTGATTCTTTACAATGGGTATATGGGAGTTTGTATTAATATAATAATAATTCCCTTTATTCTTCTAAAAATTTTTAAATTTTCTTTTATAACCAAAAAAATATATCACTAATCCTGTACAAGAATTGGAGACAGCCTCTGTCTTCCTGAACTGCCAATTGAACATAGTTTGTGGAACATGTTTATGGAACGTGAAGAAACACAGACATGGTTAACTTGAGCTATAGCTCTAAAGAAACTGATCAGTCATGAGTTTTTTCTTGTAGGCTGATCCACTCTCCCAAAGCAAGATATATTTTGGCCATTATTACATTTGTAGAAGGGACTTTTAACTCATTCTGAATCTCTGACCCAATTGTATGGCTAATTTTGATAAAGCTTTTTTAAAAAGTGAAATGTTTCCGTCATATTTAAGATGAGAATGTACCTTCCTATTGAGAGAGTGACTTTCAAAAAGGATGGTGTGGCTGCCCCCCTACCTGCTCTTTCATTTCAGCATAGACTTTCTCTGAGTTCAGTTCCACTTGCCGCTTAAACTCTTCCAGAGCAGCATCTGCCTGCTGGGCCTGCAACCTCTGAACTTCAGTCACACGAGTTAGCTGCTCCTCTTTTTCCCTAGAGAAGTTCAGAAAAGCATCAGAGTTAAAATATAAAAGAACTAGGCTTCAATGAAAGAACAATATTTAACCCTCTCTAAGATAAAATTTAGATTTCAATTTTTGATCCAAATCCTGCAAAACTTCCCTTTAAAAAGGTGGCAATAAAATAACTTGTCTCAGAAGAAAAAGCATATAAACATGTAATACATATTCTGATGAAGGCGAAACTACTTTCCCTAAATCAAAACTGTATAAAACCATGTGTCTCCATCAACTAATGAATGGACAAACAAAATGTGGTATATCCATACAATGGAATATTATTCAGTCTTAAAAAGGAATGAAGTTCTGATAAATGCTACAACATGGATGAACCTTAAAAACATTAAGCTAAGTGAAAGAAGCCAGTCACAAAAGCTCACATATTGTATCATTCTATTTATGTGAAATGTCCAGAATAGGTAAATCCATAGAGACAGAAAATACATTAGTTTTTGCTAGGGGCTGGGGGACAGGGGAAGGGAGTGACTGCTAATGGATATGGAATGATGAAAATATTCTGGAATTAGATAGAGGTGATGGTTGCATATCCTTGTGAATATACTAAAATCCATCAAATTTTATACTTTTAAAAGGCAAATTTTATGATATGTGAATTATATCTCAATTTTTTTGAAAACCAGTGTAACAACAGAAAGATGTATGTCTATCAGCAGTTGATCTTCAGAGCAGTCAAGGCAACAGAGCAACATGATGGCCTAAATTATTTTACTGTCCTCTAATAGATTTGCCCAAAAGAACTGATAACCATTCTCATTTCTTCATATGTCAAACTCGAATTACATAGTCAAAAGGGTCCAACAAAACAAGAGGAATATTTGCATGTTCATAGAGGAAAAAAATAAAGGCTTTAGTTTATAAATACATACAAGTTAATAATAACTAATTCTGAGTTCTGACTAGGGACCAAGATTTTTATATGTCTCCTCTTATTTATTCTCACAGTAAACCTGTATAAGGGTGTTACTGTATCCTTACTTTTATAGAACAGGAAACTGGAGCTTAGAGATTATTTCCAAGGTGACACACCTAGAGTAATAGGTCAAGCCAGGATTTCAGTCCTGCCAGTCTGTTTCTAGAGTTCCCGCTCTTGGCTACTATGCTATGCTGCTTTCCTGATTTTCTAGACACCATGGGTAAGATTAACTTGGCTCACTTTCCCTAAATGGGAAAGTTTACACAGATATAAAACATTATCTTATTACCAACTGTAATACTGAAGAATGCTAGGGCTGCATAGGGTAATTTAACTCACCCAAATCAAATTTTAGAGAAATATCATTAATGGGGGGAAAAGACTTTTCTAAACTATGACGCCACTGTCTTTTAAGAGGTGGGCAAAAAGTAATTTGAGCTTTTTGGAGTTACTCAGATTGGAGTTTGAAAACCCCTCTTAGACAAAATCATTTCTAGGCTTTCCAATAAAAACATACATGTAATATAAAGTATCAAAATAACAAACATTCTCCCCCCAAATGGGAAACCTTTCTGAAAGCTTAACTGACCAAAAGATTGATAAGAAAAAGTCACCTAATTTCTATTTCAGCAAGACTCTCCCATCCCTTTATGAGGTAATGTATATAGAGATTAGCCACATGTTAGGGCATGGCATAACTACAAATAAGCAGCTCTTTGTTTACAGGCTGAGAGAACATACCCTGTATCTTTCCTTTATTTTTCATTTTAAGACTTATGTCTATTTTTATCTCTTCATATCTACCCACACATCCATCTACCTGAAGATGACAATAATCACTTCACCCCCATGAAAAACAAAGCAATTTTTCCACTGAAATCCCTCTTCCTCTATGTGTCTGTTTTACAGACGTGGCCACCATTTTTATGACCTACAGGGTTTAATACTGCCCAAGGCGTGGGATGCCCTGCATGAGAGCTAAGCCATTCCAGATCATGATGCATGCCAGATGTGCTCTCAGTTACCACATTTTAAAGCAGTGGGGTACAGGCTTCTGGAACTTTTTAAAAGCTTTTCTTTAAGTTGTCCACTTTAATGAACAGGAACCTGAATATCTTCTTGTCCACCATTTTTCTTACATGCTGTTAAAATGTCTTTAATGTTAACTCGTTGTCAAGTTCTAAGGCCTTAATATTAGCAATGCTTTCTTTGCAACATAATGTTAATATTAGCTCATAGATAATGGTGATTAATAACTGGATATCATACTGAATACTGATTCCAGGGATATCATTACATAAAAGACTGAGCACTCTCATGACTACAGAGAATTTTAATTTGGTCTGGTGCATTTCCTATATTATTCTGCCCAAGAACAGCAAGTCTTGAGTTGTATGTAGGGTTTTCCTGGTACAAACATTTAATAATTTGTTTGAATATTCAAATATTTAAATATTAAGACAGCATATGGGAACAACATAAAGTCATATAAATTGTACTGGGTAC